GTACACGGCCGTGACAGCTAAGGAGCAGGACCACAGGAGTACACGGCTGTGACAGCTAAGGAGCAGGACCGCAGGAGTACACGGCCGAGAAGAGGGGCAGAGTCGAGGGCGCAGCTCAGTGGCAGAGCCCGAGCTTATTATTAGCAAGTAGAGCCCTGGGTACGAAAGAGAGAGAACGATTAAAAATACCAGGACTTCAAACAGATGAGGATTAATGTTGCCAGCACTTGACTTCACTGAGAACACTAAAAACAAATGAGGTAATAAAACTGAAGGCAAAGCAGACAAAATGAGCCATCAAGTCCTTCCTCTAGAAACCAGAGTCTTTTCAGAGTGGAGGAAGGAAACCTCGGACAGAGAAACAGGTTCCTCCTCCTTGCCCCTTCCTGGGAAGTCACTCCGGCTGGTGTCTTCCCCTCAGGTTTCCCAGCTATGACTGACCCAACACAAAGTGCTGCCTTGCAAAAAGGCTTTTGCAGCCACTGACCAGTCTTCTTGTTTGTGAAGGTAGAAGTCCGGATGCTTCCACTTTTGAGCACTGCCCCAGTGGCACCTAACAAATCAGTAGCTGATTGCACAGCTCACATATACTGGGAAGTGAAATGCAGAAACACCATGGGAGCCTGGGTCCAAGTGTGAGCAGCAGAGAAGCGAGAATTGCACCAGGGCTAACAGAGCAGCACTGACGTGAACCAAGCACACAGCTCAGCAGTGGAGCCCTATATCAGCAGGGACTGGGCAGACGCTCAGCAGCCGAGAACACTGGCTGCTCTTGCTGAGGACCCAGTTTCAGTTCCCAGCTCCAAGGAGAGCTCAAAACCACCTGCATGTGACTCCAGTTCCGGGGATCCAAAGCTCACTCTGACATCGAAGGGCACAAGGCATGTGGAACACAGAAACATGGCCAGATAAACAACTCTCACATATAAAATATATTAACCTAAAAAATTTCTAAGAAAGAGAGGCACAAGGAGGTCTAGGCAGCTAGGCTTGAGGGGACAGGGCGAGACACCTTATGTGCAGAGTCTGTCACTCCAATCCACACCACTGCTGTGTAGGAAAGGGAATTCCTTCATTAGAAGGAGCCCTAGGCTCTGAAGTTCCTTCCCAGGAAGACACCGACAACCAGTTGGGTGGGGGTGTCAAGAGCAGGCAAACCAGAAGGATCCTAAACAAACGAAAGCTCACCAGCCTCCCCTGAATCTTCCTATCAGCCAACTTTAAGACCGAGGACTTGGACTGCAGTTGGGAGGAAAACCCTGCCAGTGCTAAAACACAGTCATCACCGGAGAGTTAACGAAGACTGTCTTCCTGTCTGCTCACACATCAGCGGGCACTTTCATGCAGCTAATGACAACAGAAACTGTAATGGAAAATTTTCATTTCATTTCCTAACTTCATCCTATTATTGTGTGCATGGGACACATAAGCCACGGCACACGAGTAGAGGTCGGAGGATAATTCTGTGCAGTTTGCTCTTCTCATTCCAGGGACAGAACTGGGGTCATCAGGCTTTTATAGTGAATGTCTTTACTTGCTAAGCTGCCTCACTGGCTGCTTTAGAGTTTGGCTACCTACACTGTGATGCATATCCTAAAGACAGACTGCACAGGGATCTCTGCGAGTTGCAGTATGTGGTGTAATACTCCGAGGCAACCCACACAGTGAGGGTGGACTACATACATGTACATCAGCGAGGGCACTGGCTACACAGCTTGGATGAGCTCTAAGCACATGCTGGAACTCTAGGGCAGAGAGCTGGGCCATGAGATATGAAACACTGTCTGAGGCACACTGCTGAGTAAATGCTAGGCACAGAACAGGGTGCATACCATAACCCCATGTCTGCCCCTTGTCAACAGATGTGTCTAGGTATGAAGACATTGGGAAATCACTAATCTACTGTGTGCAGCGGAGGAGAAACTCTTCACCCCAGGTTCCGTTCACTTGCCTTTTTTCTGTCATGCTAGTCCACTGTCCTAACAGCTGGAAACAAAAGAACATCAATAGTGCAGCAGCCAGGCATGGTGGTGCACACTGCTATTTCGAGCCCTTGGGAAGAGATGGGGTGCAAGGCTACATAGTGAGTTCAAGGCCAGCCTGAGATAGCGAGACCCTACTTCAAGTAACCAAGCTAAACCAGAACAGGAAGAGCTTAATGTTTCAGCTGCATTTAACAAATTAAACCCATGCTCTTTCTTGCTAATGTACAAGCCACAGTTTCCGTACCTTGTTTCCTTCATACACCCATCCCAGACTCTTCACCCCAAAGGCAACCTGGCTGGCTGAGACATCCAGACATGTGGCAGGCTGGCCGTAGACATAATGGAGGGTTCTGGCCGAGTCCTCAGCCTTCAGCAGGTATACCAGGTCCCCAGCTGTGGCTATTGCCACAGGGTACCTCCCAGTATCTGGAACTATTTCCAGGTAGTCAACCTGCAAAGAGAGGAGTTGTTTAGTTACCCACAGTCATCTTGATTTGGTCATGAAAGGAATTTCCCCTGTACATCTAGAGGGCAGAGGCCCAGCTCACAGAAACAGTTGGGCATAGGGACCATTTATTTACAGGGATGAACATGGCTCCTGCCCAGATGAAAAGATACCTGTAACAGCAGAAACACAACACACTCTGAGAAGGAAAGGCACAAAGTAAAGACCACGGAGACACCATTTTCCACCTGCCGTCCCATGAGGACCAGGAAGCCAGAGGTCACAGAGCTACAGGTGATCAGGGAACATAACCCAGTCCGACTCCTACTCAGGAAAGACTGGCAACACATCCCACAGTGCCAAGTACACTCTGACTCTCAGGAGGTCCGTCTAGCAGTGCTGACAGATCCCCGCAGAGCAAAGGGCTATGCATGGTGTTCACTGCAGGGCCGCTCCTGTCACTGTGCAGATATGGAACAGCCACGCAGCAAATGTCCAACAACCATGGGAGAACCTGAAGGCTTCCTCATCATCCAGTGGGATCTCATGGAGATGGAGCAAGGGAACAGGATGCCCAGGGGACTACCCCAAAATTCGGGCAGATGGGTGGAATCCTAAGGCTCAGGAAGGGTTGTGTCTCGTAACAATGGCTGTCTTCAAGGGTTGAAACAGGCAGTGAGATTGAAAGGCTGTTAGTTTTACTGGGTCTTTTAAATCCTGAACACGGTAGTGTTTAGAGTGATCCTTATTTTGTTGTTTTACCAGAAATTGAAAAAGTGAAACTCCCTGAGTTCCAAATGAATAAGCATTCTGAAAACTATGTGTAAGTACCACAAATGCATCACCAGAAGATCCAAACTGTTCTTAGCACTCTCCTGTCTGCCTGTCAGGCACTGACTGCCCTGTGCCATGTGACCACCTGAGGACAGAGACCAGGACAGACAAACACACTCTTGTCAGCATTTTCTCTGACTGCACAGGGAAGATCACCAGTTAGGGTGACCCGCTTCTCCCCAGAGCAGTCTCTTGTCAGGCACACCTGCTCAGTAATCACAAGTGTGGATGCTGAGGATAAATCCACTATGGGATCATGAAACCCCACGGTGTAGAGGACAGCATCGCCCTGACGATATGCCAGAGGCGCTCAAAAGCCCGAGCTCTGCAGGCTGCCCTGGGGAGCTGAGCACAAGCAAACATCCGGTGCCTCTGCTAATCCTGAGCCCAAACTGTGCCGAGGCAGCCTGACATCTTGGGCTGCAGGTCCATCACAAAGGCCAGCTGCTCCAGGCTAGCACTGCAGACCTGGGAACGGTGCCACTGTTATTCAGGAAGCACAGCTAGGGAACAAAGATGATCCGGCTCCATGGGCGGGGGTGCCTGATCAGGGATACCCAGTGCATACTGTGACAACTTGGCATCCAGACGGGAAAACAAGGCTGAGAGTCGACACATCCTCAGCAGGGCTGCCCACTTTCTCGCTCTAAAGAAAACTCATTTCTTAGTTTCTTAAAACAGACGCCTTTTTGGTAGCCATTTAACTTCATCTTTCGGTTGGATTTCCAGCAGGCCAAGAAGCTCAGACTGGCAGTGGCCACCACTCGCTGGGAGGTGTAAATGACCTCAAAAGCTTCCAGTCAGCCCCAGGATGGAACCTGGCTGCAGGATTTACTCTTCATGAGGGGTGCTCAGCTTGCATAGCCATGGCTAGTCCACAATGTTGGTTAGCCCTGCACTCCATGTCTCTCTGGAGGCCCCAGGAGAGGCTGACAGCGCAGGTCATGTTCGAGGAACACTGCATGAGAGACACGGAGCTGATCTGCAGCAGCGAGCGAGCAGCTGGAGGAGGTGAAGCAGTGACGCCAGGCGCTCGCTATTCAAATCTAAGATTCCCACAGGGAAAGGGAGGGAGGAGTTGGTTCCAAGTTGCCATCAATCCCTGATCAAGGCTGGCTCTTCTGTTCCTCTGGCTAACGCCAAAATGAAGTGTGTTCAAATTAAATTCAAATTCGGCACAGACGAATACTGTCTTATCACCAAACCATCTCTGCCTGGTGGACAAGATTTGTGTACAGCTGAAGTTGTTAGAGCCCTTTTGCAGAGCCCTGAGCTGGCTCAGTTTTTTTTTTTCTTGTTTTATTTATTTATTTATTATGTATACAATATTCTGTCTGTGTGTATGCCTGCAGGCCAGAAGAGGGCACCAGGCCCCATTACAGATGGTTGTGAGCCACCATGTGGTTGCTGGGATTTGAACTGAGGACCTTTGGAAGAGCAGGCAATGCTCTTAACCTCTGAGCCATCTCTCCAGCCCCGAGCTGGCTCAGTTTTATGTGCACCCCAGAGTCTGGTTCGCAATCCACACTGCCTTCCATGGACTTCACTCAGAGACAAGAGTGTGGGACAAACGCGCCCTTCCACACAGACTGCCACGCACCACTGCCATTCACTTAGGCGTTGGCCAGAAATGAAGCTCAGGTTCCAGGGTGCATCTGCTGTGCTAGCTGGAAGGAGGCAGGAACATGGTAGAAACCCTGAAACAGCTCCATGTTTGCATGTGTTGCTGTGTAGTTTTGTTTTAGAAGTGGGGCTAGGGGTGTGGAGATGGCTCAGCAGGAAAGAGCTTATATTGCTTCTTGAAAAGGGCCTGAATTAGATTCCCAGCTCACAACCACTTACGCGTACAGCTCCATTATCCAACACCTCTGACCTCCTCATAAGCACATACCCGAACACATAATTTAAAATAAAAAAAAGCAGAGGAGGAGGGGCAAACCCTGGGTTTCATGTGCACTAAGTAAATGTTCTACCATTAAGCTGTAGCCTCAGTCCCACACTTCACAGCTCAGAAACAAAGCCAGGTCAGTCCACCACTCTGAGCTGTTCCTGACTCTATCACCCACTTCAGCGGGCTGTTGAGAGTCTGACAAACAGAAGCCCCAGGGTCACTGCTATCTGTTTTATTGACCCAGGGGTTATCAGAATGCAAGTTAACAAACATCCTAAGAGCTCACCAGTTTCTGAACTTCAAATTCCGCAGCTACATGCCAGTACCCCTCCTCATTAGGGTACAACATCACAACGTCAAAAGCAGAAGCAGTGGCAACCGTGGCCTCTTCCCGGCTGAGCGCGAGGGCCTGTATTCTTGCATCGTGCTCAAAACGATGTATAGGGAACTTCCCGGTCCTCAGGTCCCAAATGTTCAGAATCCCTAGAAGTAACGCAGAGAGCAACTGTAAACCCAGTACACACAGGCATAGAATAAGCCTTTTTCAGACTGACTTGGTGAAGATGGCACGTATGTATATTTGTTCGAATCTGTCCCACTCCTTCCTAGCTGTAGAACTTGGCGTGTCACTTCTCCTCACCAGTCTCTAACAGTGCAGACAGCAGTACCCACCACACAGGACTACTGAGCAGATGAGGGGAGACCCGCCATGAAAACTGTGGATGGCTTCCTCTATGGCTCGTCCATGGAGCCAACCCTAGCTCCCAACCTTCCTAGACACCACTCACTCTCCGTCGCTAAGAAGTTTATTGTCTTCTTTCTTCCTGGCACCACACTTCATCTGTGCACTGAGAGCCTTGAATTCAGGCTCTTGCTCTACGGTGCCGTCCTGCTCACAGATGTAGAGTTAGGTGTTGCAAGGCTTTCAAATGGCCTGCAGCTGGTAGTCACAAACAGCAACAGGGCTCTCCTCCAGGGAAAGGCTTCAACATGAACGGCATGCACTTTTCTAAGAACTATGATCAAATGGAGGACAGGCAGGTCACAAAAGGCTCCATGACACGGTCCCTGGCATGTACTTTGGTAAACTCTTTCTTCTACCTCAGAGGGAGATGGGCTGAGCTTAGGGCCCCACTCATTAAATAGGAGTTAGTGTCCCATGTCATCCCATCCTCCATCCTGTCCCATCCTTCCCCCTCCCGCCGTGGGCTCATCTTAATATGAATCCTTCCAAATGCTGCTCTGAGTGAGAACTGCCACACAGAACTTCTGGACACTCCACATCACATGCCTCCTCTTGCTGTGGGAAGAGAATGTCCCCCCATTCCACAGAGGCAGAACAGTGGAAGCTTTAAGTGGCTAGACCACTGCTTTGTGACCACCTGTTCCGTGAGAGCGCTGAGTTGGGTTGAGATGCTGGGACTTGGTGAGGACCGGCACATCACCAAACTCGCCCCAGGTTCTGCCTGACATGGGAGCTGTTTAACAGTGCACTCTATGCACACTTGGAGTGTATCTACAGACATGGTTTTCATTGTTAGGCAAGGGCTGATTTTGCTAGCGTCCTTTTCTCAACAGAACTGGATGCAGTGAACATGTAAACACACCTCAGCACAAACCCGAGCTCCAAGCTGCCTCAGACACTCAGGCCTCCTCTCTCATTGATGGCCACTCTGTCTGAGCGCCTGCTATACTGTCACCATTAATAACCAACCCCTCTTCTTCAGTTACATTCTGAAGTGTACAGCTAGGCTGTTACCCTCAATGGCACTGGTGTCACTGCAGTCTCCTAACACCAATGCTGGTGAGCAAACATTTAGTGCTCTTCTGTCTTCCTGAATTACCTGCCCCCTTCTCACACACAATGTCCCTCCCTGTCCCTGGGTTGTCTTTACCACTCACTCAGCGCTCTGGCTTCATTTTGATTCTTATAAAAACAAGGAACTTTCTTTCCATCTGTCTATTTTGCTTTGTGTCTTTATTTTATAGGATTCTTGGACCTAGCACGGTGACACACATCTGCAGCCTCAGTAACAGGAAGGAGGAGGCAGCAGACCGACAGTCTGAGGTTAGTCTGAGCAACACGGCAAACCCAGGATGAGTAATCACTTGCCTCTAAATACATACACACACAAAGTAGATCTCTTGAAGATAGTCTATATACTGTTTGGTCTTGTTTTTTAAATGTAAGTTAAGTCTACTTACATTTTTAGATCTATTTTATTTTTAATTATGGAAGTGTATGTGTGTTTCTGTTGCATGTGCATCACATGAGTGCAGGTGCCCATGAGGCCAGAGGCCTCCCATACCCTGAAGCTGGAGCTGTATGTGCTGTGAGCTCCCAGTGGGTATCTGGGGACACTCTGCCAGGGCGGCACTGAGTCCGTCTCTAGCCCCACTCCTTACTTACACCATTTTCTCCTCCCGTGGATCAGGTGCTTACTCCATCATGATTCCTCTGCTGGCCTCTAGGCCAGAATTCTCCCTGGAATTACTGAGCAGCTGCTTCAGGACCTTAGGATACAGGCTTAGCACACCACAGCCTAGCTTCAAGTGACACTTCTCACCCACACAAAAACAGCCCAGCCCCTCCCATACTATGGCTGTCACACTTTTGTTTCTGCAGGAGCAGGTGGGCCTGTATCTCTTAGAGGGGTATAAATAAGAAAGAGAGCTTTCCCCATGTAACTGCCTTCTCTGTTCGTCAGCATCCCCTTCAACTTGAGAAACCCAGAAGCTTTGCTAGAACACAGGGCAGCAGGGCAGCTCTGTGACCGGCCACCCACTCAGTGTGCACAAGGTCCTCCTACTCCCGCATCACTAAAGGGGGAGCTTAGGTGAGGGACAGACAGACAACAGACTAAACGCAGTTCCATCCCAGCACTTCCCAACCTCAGGACTGCAGAGACATGAAAAGTGAATCCCTTCTGCTATGAGAATGCTCCGTGCTACAGCAGGAGGTCAGAAGAAAGGAGGAGCCAATAAAGACACACACTGAGCAAGAGCTTGCTGTGCTCTGTGCTGCATCAAGGGTTGTGTTAGGACGATGTAGAACAGAGATCCCTTACTGCATGCAGCGGAGTTCTGGGGGCCTCTATAGAGCACCTCACTTGTAGACCTCCGAAGAGTTAACTGTCTACTTGATATAGCTTAGAGTCACCTGAGGAGTTAGGTCTCAACTCAGGAACTGCGCAGAAGGCATGATGGGGTGGAGGTGGAGGTGGGGCTGTCTGATGGTTAACCGACACAGGAAGGCCCAGTCCATGGTGTGTAACATCATTCCCTGGCAGGTGCTTCTGGGATATGTATAAGTGAGCGAGCAAGCAATATTCTCCATGGTTTCTGCTTCAGCGCCCGCCCTGCCCTTCTTCAGTAATGGACTGGGACTGGGAAATGTGACCCAAAGAAACCTTTTCCTCTTCCCTCGGTTGCTTCTGGTCAGTGTTTTATCACAGCAACCGAAAGGAAGCTGTAAACTTTTTTCAGATCACACACACACACCTGCCCTTACCACTTGGCAAAAAGCAGCTGACCCTTTTGGGCACTGAGTTGAGTTGGTGGTCCTTGTTCACCACATGGCTGTTAAGGAAGACGTCAGCAATGAGGGTCAGAACCAGAGCAGTTCAGTCCTCTAACAGGTACACTATCTAAAGGTCGGGCACGGACTCATCAGAATGACCAATTACAGCCGCAGCAGCAGAGTGGAAGACACCTGAAGAGGCAGGCTGTGTGCTGGGTTTCTGCACTCCCTCAGTGCTGAGTTTGGAAGGAGTGTGCCATTAGCAGAACCTGGCCAATGCTCACCTCCTGTTTCAGTAACAGACCCCAGTGGAGCCGCATAGAATAAAACTGACCGGATAGGCAAGGGCCATTTAACACAGGACAGGACACACTTACAAGGGATCAGAACCAGCAACCTAGAAAACACTGAGGACTAAGGCCACCTGTGCACACCACAGATCTCACCTCCAGTCTCTACAACTCTTCCCTCCTCTGCCTCCACAATCCAGCTTCCTCTAAGGAGCCAGCTCCATCCCACAAGGGCTTCAACTCCAAGCACAGAACAAAATGTGAACCCTGGTCCCCATCCCTGGTCTGATCAGTGGATGCCAAAAGATGAGTCAGTCTCTGAGCCTGCCCTCGGTCTGCTGCTGCTTGGAAGAGATCTTAGAGTGTGGAGGCACTGAGGTATCGTCCACCTTCCAAGGCATCTCAGGACAAGGTAGAACAAGAAAATCGCTCAGGAGGCAAAAAGAGGTCCCTGGCAGTTACCTAGTGACTTAGGAACGTGTGGTCACTTCCTGCACAGTCCCAGCCCTGAGAGTTGGAGGCCAGGCCCCAAGAGCATAACAAAGGGAGCAGGCATCCATCCAGGGCACCTTCACACCTGCAGAGCTCAGCCAGTGCTGGGACTACAGCAGAAATTCGCAAAGGGTGCAGACAAAAGAAGACAATGTGTCCTTCAAAGCCCATCTGAGAGAAGACAATGAGTGAAGGCCAAAGCTCCCCAAGTCGGCCAGGGCAGGACCTGGCAGCTCCACGGGTTCCCTGCTCGGTCCCCTCTACCTTGATAAGCAGCCAGGCTAGAGGCACTCAGCACTTGCCCTAGACCAGGAAGTCATTAGCACTGACATGAGTGACGAGGGCCAGGCTTTGGAGGAGACATAAAGGCTGCTAAGCAGCTGTGGATGGGCACCCATGCCAGTCTGTAGCACGTCTCTCCACCTCCCAAAGGAGGCCAGTCAGAGTGTGGTAATGAAACTGCACATAGTAGAAATGGGATCTAAATGAGTCTAAGCTGATTTATGTTAGCTTTTGTAAAGATTACGCGTATCTGGAAAGTGCTACCACTGTGCAAGCGCGATGACAGTCCTTAAGAACTCCGCCTAATGGTGCTTGAGCACAATATTTATATTCCTCGGCATGGGAACAAGGACCATAATGGATACCATTTTTGTTTTATTAGGGATGCATATTTAAATTAATCTGCTATTTGCCTAAACAATTAGTTGCTTCTGTTTGTGTGCACAAAGCCAAAACTGCAATTAGGCTTCCATCAAAAAAATAAGTCCCAACTAAAACTGTCCCGGTGGGGCCATAAGAGCTCAGGGCAGAACTTCCCCAATTACTTCTCAGCACAATGGTAATTACATTAATTGCTTGAAAGGTAAATAACCACTGAACTGGTTTTGGAAACAAACACTGGCACTGCCCCTCCCCTCTGATCTGCTCCACTCACCTACGGTCTAAAAGAGGTTACAGTTTAGAGAACCACACACTAGACCCTTCAACTATCACGTCTGCTTGTGATCTCTGTGGAGCCTTCCCTTTGAGGACATGTCCACTGTGAGCTCAAGCCTCTTGCACTCACACAATTAACACCTGAAGCTCAGTCTCAGCTAGACAGACAGGATCAATTAGCTGTGTTCAGAGACACGGAATGAGCCGGCTATTTATACAGAAGCTGGCATGCTCTGTTCCCA